GCCGTTCAATGAGTAATTTCCCGCCAAAAATTTAAGTGCCCGTACACGAGAACCACGCACGCCTGGAGGCTAAATTTGATAACTTTAATTCGTATATGAGCTAGGAACATCTCCTTAAAATTTCAGTCTCCCAGCTTTGCTGGTTCCCAAGTTAGCTATTTTCCCGCCAAAAAATTTTGCGGGGCCGTACGTGAGGGCCGTGCATGCCTGGGGATGAATTTGATAAATTCACGTCGTACGTGAATTGGGAAAGTCCCTTGAAAATTCCAGCCTCCCAACTTTGCTAATTCTCGAGCTAGCCATTTTCCCGCCAAGGAATTTCGCGAGACCGTACGTGAGGACCGTACATGCCTGGAAGGATGAATTTGATAAATTCAAGTCGCACGTGGGCTGGAGACATTCCCTGAAAATTTCAGCTCCCCAGCTTTACTAGTTCCCGAGTTAGCCACTTTCCCTCCGAAAAATCTCACGGGGTCGTGCACGGGAGCCACGAACACCCGGAGGCTGAATTTGACAACTTTAAGTCGTATGTGGATTGGGAACAATCCCTGAAAATTTCAGCTTCCCAGCTTTACTAGTTCCCGAGTTAGCCATTTTCCCGCCGAAAAATCTCGCGGGGCCGTACACGGGAACCACGCGTACCTGGTGGATGAATTTAAAATCTTTGAGTTATATTTGGACGGGGAACATAACCTCAAAATTTTGGCTTCCTATCCTTTATCGTTCCCGAGTTATCAATTTTCCTACCAAAACTTTCACCCCCTCGTACGCGGGGCCCAGACGTGCGTGAGGGATGGTACCGCGGCTCAGGGGCGGTACTTGGCCGGGGTACCCATTAGAAAAATCTCGGCGCTGAAACTTGCTTGATTGCCGAGTTGACGGGGTCGCCTCAATATGCGTTTTTGCAATTTGTACATAGGCAAAAACGCATAACGAGAAAATGACACAAACGGGTGAGAAGACGCCCCCAAAATTTCAGCCCTCCGGCTTTCCTTTTGGTTGCTGAGTTGAAAGTGGGTGACAAAGTTCACTCGCTTCTGAACACACATACACACAGCTACAAACGGACGATCTCTGGACAATAAGCGGTTTTGCTGATTGTAGCAGCGCTACAGAGCTATACAGCAAAAACCCATAAAAACACATAATGACGAGCGGCTGCCAGTGTGTGTTTGTATGCACGTGTATGTGTGTTCGCACTTTTTGCACCTGCTTCAGCTCAGCAATCGGTAAGGCTGGGAAGCTGAAATTGAAGCATATTCTCGCCTCATGTGTGATACTCCATTTTTAAAATCATCCTTCCGGCACTCCTGAGTCTTACGCACGAACCCCTAAGAAATTGATGTAAATTTTGTGATGGGAAAGCAATTTCGGGAAGCAGATAAGATGGGAAGCTGAAACTTCACAGAGATATTCTGTGCCATTATGTGAGCCAGAGATTTTAAATCCATCTCGAAAACATGAGTGGGTCAAACGTTTTTCGCAATAATTGGCGAAATACCAATTCGGGGACGAGGCTGTCTAGATTCTTTTGATTTTAAGAAATATTTACTGTCCATGTGGTAGTCCGCAGACAAAAAATGAGTATGGTTTGCGCATTTCTGTATTAGGAGTACGGTCATGATAGACTATTTCTGGCAGGAAAACGTTTTTGAGAGCTGGTTGAGCTGGGAATCCGAAATTTTCTGAGAATATGGCGATGAGTAACTGAAACATTTAAAATTCATCCTCCACACAAGTCCGGATCACACGCATAAGCAAATGATACTTCCAGTTGAAGCACTGTTGGGACCTGCTTGACTTGCGAATCAGACTACGTGAGCAGCTCGTTTTGTAAAGATATCTGTTCATGTGCGAACCTCTGTGCATAAAAATGCCATCTATTGCTCATGTCTCATGCTTGGATGCATCAAATGCTGCTTGTTGTGGACAGTTTTCTCCTCATTTGCTGGGATGCTGAGTTTTTACAAAGTGGTTACTTGCCCCAGTGTGGCTCCAAATGTGTAAAATTAGTCCGCATTTATGCTGTTTCCTGGCAGATACGCTGGGTAGATTTCAGTTACCAAATTCAGCTAGCAGGACACATTTTGTTTCGTGCTGCTGCGCTTCACACCACACTATGCATACTGGCTTTGCTCCCAATGATTATGCGAATCTGCATTATCACTGACTGCGTGGTACTAGCGATGCTTACTAGCAATGTTTATAGGAAGTAATTGATGCTGCCTGTGAGATCACTCTTGCACACCAACAACTTTTTATCTACCAGGTCACTAACTCCGCCATCGACATGTGGCACACCACACAGCTGCACATTTAACTGCTTGAACTTTGAAAACCAGTAAGTTACAAAATTCAGCTGTTGGACTCCGAATTCTCTCACTGCGGCACCAAACAGTGTAAAAATGCATGATCGCACCAATTCTGCCTGTACTATTATGTGTTTTTGCACATCCATGAAAAACACCCTTCCAAAATTTCAGTATCCTAACTTACCTGGCTTCCAAGTTAGCAATTTACGCGGCAAAAATTTCATGTGCCTCGTATGTGAGGACCAGGCGTATTCTGGAGATCGATTGGAAACTTTTCAATTGTACGTGGAGAGGAACATTCTTTTAAAATTTTGGTCTACCGGCTTTTCTGGTCCCCGAGCTAACAATTTTCCCGCCAAAACTTTGGCATGTTCGTATAGAGGGCCCAGGCTTGCGTGAAAATACCATGTCCCTGAAGTAGCGCTTGGCCGGGGAATCCATTAACAAAACTTTGGCATCAAAGCTTGCTTGGTTTCCAACTTGAAATGCTCGGATAGACGCGCGCGGAAACAAACACATACATACATACACACGTACACACACCATAGGTCGTCTCGCAATATGCGTTTTTGCATAACTAGAAAGAACACTTCCAACATGAGTGCATATATCACACTGCAAAGTAATGACTATTCTTGTTTTAACGTTCTCATTACTGCACGAAACCATAAAAAAATCAAAGAATAGTCGCACCGGTATTCCTGATACATGTAGCTGTGTATGCTTGTTTTATGCTCAATAAAGAATAAGGAAAAATCTTAGGCCTTCGACGCCAACACGTCCGGTTTATGATTATACATACTTTGGGGTGTTGAATATCAAACAGTTAACTGCTTTTCAGAATGGGAGTTGGATGGGTATTGGATATATCGAAATTAAAAGCAGTCTGGTCCAAGCCTTATCTGACAGAAGCGCCCCATCTCATTGTGGTTATGAAACAAGTATATTTTTGGTGCTACTTTACTGTCCTAATTTCGACGAAAATTGAACATCAGTTAGTTCAGGCTCAACTTATTGGTGGATCGAACGAGATCACTTCAATGCATTACAATCAGATCAGCATTGGCATTGCTGTCGGCATCCTAATTGCTGCGCTCCACGTACGCAACTGAAAAGCATTTTTCAGAAACTGGATTTTTCTCCTACTCATTTTGCAACAAATGAGAAAACGCATAGTACCGAGATAATTGTATGCTTGTGAATGTGATTGAAAATTACACTTATTCAAGAATTAATCCCTACGAGTCCTTGGATGTACTGAAATTCCAATCATTTTTCCAGCAGCACGGCTACTGCAGGGGAGATGCCTAAAAGTATTTTGTTTGAAAAGTAAACGCATTCGGAACTTCGTTGCGCTATGAGATTAAACAGGCATATCGTCAATAGTACATTTCAAGCGATTTTCAGGATGCAGGACTAGCAACAGTAATCACTTATCCGTTGTACGGAGGTGAAAAAATTCGGAAACAGCTGAAGAGGCCCTGGGACGAGGAAGTCTTCCTTTTATTACCTGTTGGCTTCCCGGCCAAAAATGCTACCGCACCGGATCTTAAACGGAAACCAATTGAGGAAATTATCAGGTGTTATGTCTAGTGATCCTTAATTTCACCAAAGAGCAGTTGTTTGTGCGTGCAATAATTTTATCTGGGTAACAACCAAATTAAATGCTTTGAAGTTTTGAGCTGCTTAATTATCTTGCACGCGTAACAATTTTATTTCATCCCGAAATAATGTTGTGAAGGAAGCATTGTTTAATAAAAGCCGTTAATTAAAAATGCATAGCAATTGGCTAAACGTATCTTATGATTTTTTTTTAAGCTGATCTGCTCTGCAGTAATTAGAAGTACTGGCTCCACATACATATGTGTGATTTGAGAGATTCGAAACAGCAACAAACCTGTTATTAATTTGATTAAGGGAAAACCTAACTTGGGGCCTTTTTGACCGAGTTTTACCTTTTTATTGGAGGTTTGCGTTTCCAGTTAGATTTTGCCATCCGGATGAATTTTTCGTCTCTTCGGCTAACTTTTGTGCCTTCCGACTCACAACTTTATTCTTCCTGGTCCAAAATTTTAGCACCCTTTTTCCGTATCCTCTTGATTTACCAGTAATTTATAATATCAAGAATAAATGGACCTCTGTAACTTCTGTTGGAGGAAAGTAACCCACCGTTATAAAGGGTTATATTGTGATTCGGATTGGGAGTGGAAGGTTTTTGAAAGATTTTGAAATTCTGTTAGGTCTGTCGAACTGATTGTAAATAACATTTGCCCTTTAAACGATGACCGACTTGTCGGTCAAACAAATTTCGAAAGATGCAGCCTTTCTTTCACACATGAACCCTTCCTGCATAAAACATTCACATTTTTATGCGTTTTTTGCAGCAATGCAATGCAAAAAACGCATATTGACGAGAGGTTGTCTGTGTGTTTTTATGCGTTTTTTGCAGCAATGCAATGCGAAAAACGCATATTGACGAGAGGTTGTCTGTGTGTGTATGTGTCTGTGTGTGCGTATGCGTTTTTTAGATGCAATGCGAAAAACGCATATTGACGAGAGGTTGTCTGTGTGTGTGTTTGAAGCAAGCTGAATAGGGAGGGGAGTTTGACTTTTTGCCTATATTTTGTCACTAGTACTGGTTTTTACGCGTTTTTTGCAGCTATGCAATGCGAAAAACGCATATTGACGAGAGGTTGTCTGTGTGTGTGTGTGTTTGTGTGTTTGTGCCTGTGTGTGCGCTGCGCATCTGTACCGATTTTTCATCTCGAGACCCACAAAAGTTACCGGGCTGAAACTTTGGGGACTTAATCTACATGCATGTACGAACCCCATCCCCAAAATGGGCGGTCTTTCCCGCATGGTACCCACGTAAAAGT